GGGTCTACAAGGTCTAATTTGGGAGGGAGGATCGCTGACGAATCCTTCAGTAACCAGGAAGACTTGGGAAACTTTTCTTGCCTGAACACATCATTAATTTCCCTGCCCATCCAAGAGCTCAGATGGGCAAGAGCTCGGTAGGGAAAAGGTTTTAAACAGGAAATGTGTTTGCAGGAAACAGCTTGAGATTTGCTGGATCATCATTAATTATTGGACTCGGTGATCTCACAGATCTTTTCCAGCCTCAGTGGTTCCATGGTTCCAAATCCTCCAGGCCAACACCAAGATGAAGATGGTGGTTTCTCCTGTAGGGAATCCAGATCCTGAGAGTCTCTTCTGAAGCTTCACAGTGCTGGATGTGTTTTGCCTGCCAGAAGAACCTGTCACAGACATCTTTTATAAAAAATCCTTGCCTTAGGAGTTTTCTTCCTGAGAAGCTGAGAGGCCTCAGGAACAAAATGTAAACAATGATTATCTGCTGCTATGGAATGCAACAGGTGCATCTGTGATGTTGGTTGTTTCTAATTAATGGCCAATCACAGTCAGCTAGCTTGGACTCTCTGTCTGAGCCACAAGCCTTTGTTATTATTTCTTTTTCTATTCTTAGCTAGCCTTCTGATGAAATTCTTTCTTCTATTCTTTTAGTATAGTTTTAATATAATATATATCATAAAATAATAAATCAGTCTTCTGAAACACAGAGTCAGCTCCTCATCTCTTCCCTCATCCTCAGACCCCTGTGAACACCGTCACAAGAACCCTCATTCCTTGTGCCCTCTGTGGGGACCAGGAGCAGGTTCTGGAATGTTCTGGCTGCCCTGATGCTGAACGAGGTTGGATGTGGCTGGACATGGCTGTGGAGCATGAAGGAATTTCTCCAGCTTGATGGTGTGGGAGTTGACTCAGGCTGGCAGTTCCAGCCCCTCTGGGGGCTGCAGGAGACACTCAGGGCTCTGGGCACTCCTGGCTGTTCCCACATCCCCATCTAGGGCTCTGGGGTGGGGGGACTGTCATGGAACGGAGGTGGCAGGAGGATTTTGGGGAGCTGTCAGTGCTGGAGGTGAAAACAGGCCTGGCACCCAGCCAGCATTATTAGTGTCTCACTTCCACAGGCAACAAATCCGCCCACGTCCCCCATGGAAGGAAAAGCTGTTTGGAAACAAGAGCTGTACCTGGCACAGGGATGCAGAAATCCTCTGCTGGTGCATCTCCCTGCACCCCATGGCCTTGGCAGGATGGGCAGCAGTGCCCAAGGGTCCCTGTGACAGTGTTCACAGGGGTCTGAGGATGAGAGAAGAGATGAGGGTCTGACTCCATGTTTCAGAAGGCTGATTTATTATTTTATTATATATATTACATTAAAACTATACTAAAAGAATAGAAGAAAGGATTTAATCAGAAAGCTAGCTGAGAATAGAATAGGAAAACATGATAACAAAAGCTCTGTCTCGGACTCTCTGACCGAGCCAGCTAAGCTGTGATTATCCATTAATTAGAAACATCCAACATGAGCTAACCAAAGATGTACCTCTTGCATTCCACAGCAGCAGATAATCATTGTTTACATTTTGTTCTTGAAGCCCCTCAGCTTCTCAGGAGGAAAAATCCTAAGGCAAGGATTTTTCATAAAAGATGTCTGCGACAGGTCCCTATCATCCTGTCCCTGCTCCTCATTCCAGCAGCAGCTCCTTGGAGGTCTCTGCCCTGCCCTACTGTGTGAATTATTAATCCAGCAGGAGGCAGCTTGGACTGGGAAACCTTCCCCAGCAGGCAGGAACACTGGGAATGGCTTTTCCAGGCTGTGCTGGGTGAACTGGCAGCTGTAGGATTGAGGCACCTGGGCCAAGCGTGATCCAGCCTGGCTGTCCTGTCCCTGCTCCACCCCTGAGCCATGAGGAATTCAGGGCTGCCCTTGCTCTGCTCCAGTTTCTCTGCTCTGTCCTGGGGTAAATCCTGCCCCAAACCTTGCAGTCCTCCTGGGGAAGGCCTGGGCACAGGATGGGGGTGCTGCAGAGCAGGGGGTGCTCTCAGGGACCTGAGCCCAGATCCCAGCACAGCGTCCTGGAGTGGGGCAGGTACCAGGGGGATTCAGCAGGGGAGAGAGAGACTCAGCTCCCTTGGTGCCTCAGGTTTGAGCTTTTCTATTTTTCACATTCTGTGCTGCTTTAGTGGGTGGGTCTGGGCTTCACATTAGGGGACAGTGAGCTCTGTGCACAAAACAAATTCCTGCTCCAGCTGCGCACAAAGGACAAATGACCCAAATCTCAGACCAAGAGCACAAACAACGTGGGCTGGAGAGAGAAAAACGAGGATGGGACTGCATGGGCTGGGGCTGCAATTGGACAATGAACTGCAAGATGCAAATGGAGCAGAATTGATCAAAGGGAGAGACTCCATGCTTGGTCGTGCATTTTGGGACCATTTTGGTTCATCCTGGGAGCAGCCCTGGCTGGGCTCTTGTGCTGCCCAAGGTGGATCCATTGAGGCCTCCTAATAAATCCTTGCTTTATTCTTTAGCTCTGTCTGGTCTCAGTTCTAGCTCAGCCTTCACAAGGCATCACCCTCAGGCCAAAGCTCTCCCCTCCCAGCAGCCAAACCCTTGGAGCAGCCCCTGCCAGCCCCCAGCCTCATCTGCACTACCCAAGCATCCCCCTGAGTATCCCAGTCCAGAATCCCACCCCAGATTCCTGCAGAGGAGGGAGGAGGAAGGGCAGCTCGAGGCTCCAGGCTGTGGTTTGTGCCACCTCACCTCTGCTGACAGCTCCGGCCACCCCAGTGACCCCAAGGTGTCAGTTGTCCTCCTGTCACTCTGTGTTTGTGTCCCTGCTGTTCCCAGCCTCCTCTGTGGGGAACAGCCAGGGCTGCAGGCAAAGTGAAGCTGCTGCTGACTTTTGTGTTTTCCCAAGCCATCGACTCTGGTGGTGTCTTCTAAACAGATTAAACTTGGATCCCAGCCCCAAGATCAGCTGATGGAGCTGCTGGGAGGCAGAAAAGGGGTTCTGGGGAGATTTTCTGGGTCTGGGAAGCAGGTGGGAATTTTGTATGCTGGGGGTGGGGAGGCACAGGGTGCCCAGAGAAGCTGTGTCTACCCCTGGACTTTGCAAGTGTCCAAGGCCAGGCTGGACAGTGGGCTTGGAGCACCCTGGGGGAGCAGAAGGTGTCCCTGGCCATGGCAGGGGTGGAATGGGATGATCTCTGATGTCCTTCCAACCCAAACCATGCCATGGTTAGTGGGGATCAGATCCTTGGTGTCAGGACCCAGAACATCCCTCTGTCTGTCCTGGATTGCCAGAACCCCTGCCAGGGGGCTCAGAGAACCTGGCACAGAGCCCAAAATGCCTGTGGGTTTGATTGTGACCTGTGGAGCAAATTACCAACCTTATATGAAGATCAGCAAGCCACAACAGTTTAAGTAGAATAATAGTGAAGTTATCATGGGGTGAAAAAGTAGATTTTGGGGTTTTTGGTATGGAGGTTCAGGAGGCAAGATGGAGGGAACTGGGCATGTCTAGCCTTTCTCCTTCTTCTTCTTCTTGGCCTCCATCTTCTGCTGTGATGGTGGCACTTACAGATTGGTTTACAGTAGAAGCTCACTGTCTAACATAGGTGATAGGTGTTAGAAAGTAATTGTAAACATTGTACAGGTAGTTTTTAGTATAAAGACATAACACTGCCCTGGGGGAAGGCAGAGTGCCTGGAATTGTCCAGCTGGACAGACCTCGGCAGGGCAGGAGAAAGAATTTTATAGATAAGATACAATAAACAACCTTGAGACCAAGAAATGAAGAGCCCTGACCCCTTCTTCAAGCCCCTGGACCTCGTGGAAGCTCCCAAATGTCTCTCACAGAGAGGAGGAGAGGTGGGTGCTGAGGTGCATCCAACTCCCAAGGCAGATCTCACTGCTCCCCACATCTGACAAAAACTGTTTAACTTCATTAAACTTCGGGAGTAACAACACCATCACACCACTGCTGTCATTAATCCTTGCTAATTGTTTCTATAATTAAAAGCCCCATTGTGTCTTGTCTCTCCCAACATGATTTATCAGACAGGGAGCACTCTTGCATGAATGATGCACGGCTGGTGGGAGGATCTGCTCTGGGCTGCCTGCATGGAGGGGAAATGCTTGGGGGCTGCTGCTCCCCAAGCCCTCAGCCTCTTCAAGCCCAGGATGAAATCCCCATCCCCTGGATACCCCTTTGTTGGGAAGGATGAAAGTTTGACAAGAAAGTCTCACAGATATGTGTGCTTAGCAGAAAGATTTTTAAATGTAGAGTCTGATGAAGGAATAGTGATGGAAGCAAGTTTTGATGTAGAAGAAAATAATTCCAGAGCCAGTCTTACTGGATAACCAAGGAGGCNACACAACCTCACGCCAGCACCATGGGGTACTCCTGACCACCGTGCCTGGGGTACACAACTCCACTCTGCCCACCTGGGTACCCCCGAGCACCGTGCCTGGGGTACACAGCCCCATGCCAGCACTGTGGGGTACCCCCGAGCACCCTGCCTGGGTTCCCCCAGACCCACTCTGCACACCTGGGTACCCCCACGCTGCCCTGCCTGGGCTTCCTCCATGCCAGCACACACAGGTACCCACCTGCCCACTCACCTGGTCCCTCTGCCCCATAGCAGCAGATACCGTCCCACCTCCCACCCCATCCCCATGACCGGCTGTTTGCATCCCCCTGCCTGCCCCAGGACAGGGTTTGGGGGCCACCTCACCCTGAGCTGCCCTCTGAACTGGGGGTGGAGGTGGTTGTGGATGGACACAGCCACTCCCTCTCCATCCCATGGGAAGCTGGGGCAATCAGGGCACAAACAGGAATTTGTGACCCCAGGAATGAGCACAGCCCCCAGCCTGAGCAGGGTTCCTGAGTTTGTGCCCCCACATTGGGCTCCAGTGTCCCTTGCAGCAGTGCCAGGAGGTGCCAGGCTCACGGGACAATGACCTGGAGCCCCCCAGCAGCATCCCCATCCCCCTTGGGAACAGCACTCACCATTGCAATTCCTCCTTGGAGTTCTCCTCTTGCTCCTGCCGAAGCCTCCTGAACTGTGCTGATTTGGTTAATTTGGCTTTGAGGGTGGCAGAGGCCAATTCCCTCCTTGGCTCTGGCTTGCAGGGTGGAATTGTTGCTCCTCTCCACTCATCACTGGTCAGTCCAGGCTGGCCTTAGCCTTGCTGGTCCCTCAGAGGGCAGCTGATGCAGAGCGTGCTGTGCCCTTGATGTGCTGTGTGCCAGCTGACCAAGCACCACCTGAGCCATTGGGTGACATTTGCTGCGTCTGACAGCGCTTTTCAAGCAGGGCTTGGCAGCATCTTCTTCACTTTACAGCTGAGGAAACTGAGGGCAGAGCTCAGGGGGCAGGAACGGGGCTCAGCGCCGAGCACCAGGCGGGTCCAACGCTGTGGTTCCACCTGGGCTGGCTCCGTTTGTGCAGGGTTTTGTCAGGAGAAATGCCAACAGCTCTCCCAGCCCTGTCGGTTCCACTCCCAATCCCATCCCTTGCTGCAGCCCAGCGCTTCTGCTGATGGAGGTTCCTGGTGCCTCCTGCTGCTCGCTTGCTCCGGGATGTGGATTTATAATTTCATTTCAGGCACACGCAGCTCGGTCTTTCCCATTCGAGCTTCATCCCCAGCCTCAGCCCTGGATCTGCGGTTAAAACCAGGAGATTTATGTGGCTGGGAAGGAATTTCGTTGCTGTTTCAAACAATATCAACTTATCTCCTTAGGAAAAGATGAAAAATCCAGGAATGAAAATCGCGGCCGGTTTGGTTTGGGGATGGATTTTTAAGCGGCTGGCGTGGGGGGGAGGGTGTGCCAGAGCAATCCACGTCTCATTTCCATCCCCCAGGATGAAAAGGTGATTCTGGCTAATTGAACACAGTCATTAGGCAGCTGTATCAAAAGCACAGAGACAATTAAGCAGCGTCCCCCCCGCCCTGGCCCCTCAGGCTGTGCTGTTTCAATCAAGGATGGGGGAATTGCTGCCGCTCCCACCCAGCTCCCCATCCCCGTGCTGGGAGCTGATTTTGCCGGCTGGAAGATGCTCTCCAGCCTGCTGGCCTGGGTTAGAGGTGATTTTGGGGGAGCAGAGTGCTGATAAATGCACTGGGGGTGCTGAGGGAGCCCCAGGTTGGAGCAGGCTGCTTTGTCCTTGTCCCCTCCCCAAGCACCTCACCAGAAAATCAAGTTATTTTTGTCTTACTGTGCTCCCTTCATGGCATTATTTTATTTTGGGGGAAACCAAGGCACAAAGGGAACTGGCAGGTTGTGGTTCAAGCCTGGGCTGTGAGTTTTGGCTCAGCCCTGCTCCCCCTCTGGGCTCCCTGTCCCACCCATTAACCCCAATGCCCTTCTGGCATTATTTTGGGCTTTGAGGAAGGAGCAGGACAAAGCACCAGGCTGAGGTGACCAGTTCTGCTTCCCCAAGGCAGAGTCTAGCACTGGACATTGGAGAATCCCATGGGACCCTTGGTGCTCCAATTAATTCAAATTGGCTTCAATATGAACATAAATCCAAAGGGATCTTAGGCCAGGAGGCAGGGACAGGTTGGGGTGGAGGTCCCTGACAGGGGCTGTGGCATTTGGGGTGCTGAGATGGGACCCAGACCCCTCCTTAAGGAGCTTTACCCTCACATGTCACCTCTGTCCCATGAGCCTGGCCCTAAACAAAAACAGGACCCCATAAATGAGGATGGGGACCCATAAACCACCAAAAACCTCTGAAATCCTGCAGAGCATCAGGATTGGGATGAAATGGGGCCACCTGGGAACACAAATGTGATGGAATCATATAATCATCAGCATTTGGGGCGCTGAGATGGGACCCGGACCCCTCCTTTACCCCCACATGTCACGTCTGTCCCAAGAGCCATAAACAAAACCAGCACCCCTCAAATGAGAATGGGGACACATAAACCTCCAAAATCCTGCTGAGCATCAGGATAGGGATGAAATGGGGCCACCTGGGAACACAAATATCACAGAATCATATAATCATCATGGTGGGAAGAGACCTTCAGGACCACCCAGTCCAATTGTGCCCCAGTTTGGGGGGACACACAGAAGTGGCAGCACCCCTGAGGCTGCTCCAAGGAGGGTCCCTGCCTTTGGAGATGCTGTTCCAAGTGAGCCAGCTCTTGGGAGTGTCTTGACAAGTTTTGTTGCTTTCTGGGGCATTTTCACACGGACTCAGCAAAATGATTTAGGGAAAAAAAAAAAGTGTGAGAGAAATAAAAAAAAAAAAATCGCAGCTGCTCTGGCACACGCTCAAAATCTCAAAGAGTTTTTGACTGAAACGTGCCAAGGGGAAAAAATCAATTCCAACAAAGTGAGAAACAAAATCCCTTTTGCCCCCAGTTTGCCCTCTGTGGTGAAGTGAAGGATCTGAGGGATCTCTCCCTCCCTGCCAACCCCTCCTGCCATGGCCAAGCTGGTTCCCTGCCAGCCTGAATGCAGCATTCCAGCCCTGCCAGCTCCAGGGACAGCCTGGGATGGTTTTGTCCCCATTCAGGATGCAGCAGTGATGAGAGCAGGCTCCTGGTGCCCATTAATTCTGCCTAATGGGAACCTCGATGGGCTCCTCGAAGGAGCCAGCTGGATGCTCCCACTCCACGTGGTCCTACAGAATTTGGGGTTTTGGGGAGCTGGGATGATGCCCTGAGTGCGCCAGGGTGTGGCAATCCACAAAATTAGAGGGTTTTGGGAAAGCTCCTAAGCTACAGCATGAGACATCATTTATCTATAGGACATTTTTGACCAGACTGAGGAAATTTTACAAGATAAAAGATGTTCATACATCTCAAAACATGAACTGAAAGACTTATTAATCTAAGTAAAAGCAAATACTCAAAATGTAGACTTGCAATCTGCTTTTACCTTTGATTTTTGAGACCAGATAAATGGTGATATGATACCAGGGAGCCACTCCTGGCTTGGCAGCACAGAGCCCCCAGCCCCAAATGCTCCTGAGCAGTGCCAGCCACACCACAGGGACTGGGGACAGCACTGTCACCAGGATTTACCCCTAGGGCTGAGCTGGGGGCTTATTCTGTGCTGGCCAGAGCTTTGCAGTGCCCCAAACATCACTGGAGGGCACCGTGCCCCTGTGTTGTCCCCTCCATCCAGCCTGGAGCCACCCTCTCCAGAGCCCTGCTGAGGTGGCACCATGGTCCCATGGTGGCACCAGGAGGTCCCATGGGCTCACTCTGGCCTGGGCACCCATCACACCCAAAAATGCAGATTCTCCTCAGGTGTGCACTCTGGAAGGATTAAAGCATGGAAATTTGGGGGCACAGCCCCACTGTGAGGTTTGGGGGGCACAGGGAGGAGTGGCTGCCACACCACGAGTGACATCTGTGACCTGCTGTGCACGGAGCTGGGGTGGTTCCCCTGCAAACCCTCTTGTTCCACCTCCAAACCCTCTTGTTCCCTTCCAATCCCTCTTGTTTCCCCTCCAAACCCTCAATTACTCCTCCAAACCATCTTGTTCCCCTCCAAACCATCTTGTTCCCCTCCAAACCCTCTTGTTCCCCTGCAAACCCTCTTTTACCCCTCAAAACCCTCTTGTTTCCCCTCCAAAGCCCTGGGTTCCCCCTCCAAAAACCCTCTTTTTCCACCTCTAAACCCTCTTCTAACCCTCCAAACCTTTTGTTCCCCCTCCAATCCCTCTTTTACCCCTCAAAACCCTCTTGTTCCCCCTCCAAAGCCCTGGGCTCCTCCTCCAAACCCTCTTTTACTCCCTCCATCCCTCTTGTTCCACCACCAAACCCTCGTTTCCCTTCCAAACCCTCTTTTCCCCCCTCCAAACCCTCTTGTTTCCCCACCAAACCCTCTTGTTCCCCCTCCAAATCCCATTTCCTCCAGCCCAATCTCTGCCCTGACCCCAATATCTCTGTGTTTACACTTCAGATCTGTTCATTTTGAGCAGGAGCCCCTGAGGGGGGACAGTCCCAGCTCCTGTTCCCTGCCAGAGCCCCGGCTGGGTGTACAGAGCAGGGCTCTGGCAGGGAACAGAGCACAGGGAACAGGGCTCTGCACACACAGCCTGAGCCCGTGACTGAGCCCAGTTCGTTTTAATAAATATTTGGTAATAACAATGGAAGTTTCTTTGGCCAGGAACCTGCTGTTCTGAGCTGTGCCAAGCAGCAGCACCATCAGGTGAAGGGTTTTGATCCAAGCAGGAGGGAAAGGGACCTTTCCCTTCTCTCCCTGCCTGGGTTTCAATGCTGGGATCTTCACCTGCCCTTCCTCCCACTGCAGCCCCTAAGTGAGGCCTCATCTCTGGGTCCCTTCTGGCACTGATGTCACCCCAAGGTGACAAATTCCACCAAAGGAGGATTTCCTCCTTGTTGGGGAAAATTGAAACAGGAAAGCCTTGTAAATATGATTGCCTGGCAAAAGATTTTGAGAATATNGGGACACCTCCCACTGTCCCAGGCTGCTCCAAGCCCTGCCCAGCCTGGCCTTGGGCACTGCCAGGGATGCAGGGGCAGCCCCAGCTGCTCTGGGCACCCTGTGCCAGGGCCTGCCTACCCTGCCAGGGAACAATTCCTGCCCTATATCCCATCTAAACTTCCTGTCTTTCAGTTTAAAACCATTCTGCTGTCACTGCATACTCTCATAAATAACTTTTCTCCAGACTGGCTCATCCTTGACCCCTGGGAGCTCCTCTGCACCCCCCACCTGAAGGCCCCTCGAGGACACAGGTACCAGGAGGTCACACTGGATGGCACTGACCTCATCCCTCCTTCCCTCTGTGGGGTGGGGATGGGAACCATCCATAGCTCCCAGGCTCCCCTGTCACCTCCCATTTTTCTGAGCTAATATCTTGCAGCACCTTTAAATGCAATATGAACAAAACCAGTGAGTTTTGGGGAGCGCAGGGCTGAGGATAATCAGACCTGAAAATGACTCTGCTTTGTGAGTCACACCTAATGCATGTGCATGTTAATGCTGCCCTTCCCAGCTGTGCTTCCCAGAGCTTTCACTGGAAAGAGCTGGAGCTGGAAAGACACTGGGAGGAGAGGCACAGCTCAGCTCCCAGCTCTGCTCAACAGGACTATTTGCAGGGAGGGGATGTCACAGACATCTTTTATGAAAAATCCTTGCCTTAGGATTTTTTCCTCCTGAGAAGCTGAGAGGCTTCAGGAACAAAATGTAAACAATGATTATCTGCTGCTGTGGAATGCAACAGGAGGATCTTTGATTGGCCCATATTGGATGTTTGTAATTAATGGCCAATCACAGCCCAGCTGACTCGCACAGAGCCCGACCCACAAACCCTTCTTATCATTCTTTCCTATTCTATTCTTAGCTAGCCTTCTGATGAAACCTTTCTTCTACTCTTTTAGTATAGCTTTAATGTAACATATATCATAAAATAATAAATCGGCCTTCTGAAACATGGAGTCAGGTCCTTGTCTCTACCCTCAACCTGAGACCCCTGTGAACAACATCACAGAGGGGGGTCTGGCCTGCTGGGTACCACTTTTCCCTCATTTTCCCATCCATTTTCCCTCATTTTCCCATCCCTTTTCCCACAGTGTGACACACAGTGAATCTCCAGGCCTCAGCTGGACGCCAGCCCAGCCGTGGCATCTGCTGTAGCACCAGTTCTTCCCTCCACCCAACTGTGACCAACAGCTTGGAGACGCCAACAAGGGCAGCAACACAAACGTGGGCTCAGAGCCTTTGGAAAATGTCAACATTCACAGCACTCCAAAAATATCTGGGCTGGGAATTGTGCATCTCTGAGGGGGTGGTTCCATGTCCAG